TGTCATATTTTGTAGAACTCTGAAGACTGTCAGTAGGCTGAGTGGTTTCCTATCCCAATGGGCCATATCGCTGACATCATCACTGATGATAGGCACTTCATTTCATGCAATAAATTTGCTAAAAGGATTTTGTCAAACTTTGAGCATTCATCGCAGGACCCCCAGCTTCCACCTTGCATCTCCTCCTCAGGTAGAAGACTAAGTCATTTGAGAACAGTTTATGCACGCGCATGTCTAAGTACAAAAATTCCACGATACCATAGCATCAGATATCATGCTGACGACCAACTCGCCGCTTCCCGTTTGGGTTTCACTCGAGCTATGGCCTAGCGTATGATGTCACTCAATTGATGGTTTTCTCAGAGTATGGTCAATTCACCTAACTCCATTTCTTCTTGCATATTTGTTGAACAATCGGTTCCTGCTGGGTTGGTTCGCTCATTGCCAGAGATCCGTGTTGCTGATTTTTCTGGCCTGCCATCTGATCTTGAGCGAAGTCCTGAGCGAAGACAGCCGTTGATGAAGGTGTGTAGTTTGTTCGAAGTGCTCTTCGTGACGCGGTGCGGCGCCAAGTCTCTGATCCGTATAGTGAGTAGCACTGACTGACTTCACATTGGAGTTGAAAATCCGGATCTTATTTTTCATGATCAGTGCTGTTGATCTCCACACAGACTTGAGAGTAATGAAAGTTTGCCTTGTTTTCCCGATCCTTGCTTTGATATCCTCATCAGTTCCGTCTGCCTGTAATTGAAACGATGCTTCCCAGGTTGGTAGGTGAAGGAGGTTGCTTCTTTCAGATTCAGCTTCTCCCATTCATGCTGGCTGATTGTTGGTTGTTGTTGTTGTTGCTGTTGCTGCTAGCCAGGAATCTTCATCACCACATCTATTTTCTCTGTGTTCACCTGAAGTCCTTCCTATGTTCTCTGGATGCTACTATCGCCAACTTTTCGCTTTTCGCTTGCATATCTTCCAGTTTGTGGGAAATCAGACAAATATCATCGGCGAAGTCCAGATCCTCCAAGTTTTTTTAGTGGGGGTCCATTTTATGCCTGTTTCCTCATTGCCCGGCCCGCTGTCTCTCGCATTACACAGTCTACTGCAATCAGGAAAATCATTGGAGATAGTAGGCAGCAAGCCAGCTTGTCTTACTCCCGTCTTCACTTCTTTGCATGCAGCATTGTCGTTCAACTGTTGGTTGAGATGTATAAATTTGGCGGCACCTCGTAGTAGCAAAGTAGTTGCCAAATCACCTCTCGATCGACTCTGTCTGATGAAGGCCTATTCAAAGTCAATGAAGCTGAGATAGAGAGCTGACTACCATTCCAAGCTCTGTTTAGTGATGATCCATAGTGTTGTGATTTAATCGACGCATGATTTTTCCTCCTGAATCCAGCCTGTTCCGGTTGAAGTTTTTCATCCAGGGCGATGTGTTCGATTCTCTCCAGGATGATGCGGCTTAGTATTTTTCTTCAGGTGGACAGGAACATAATGTCGTGCCAGTTCTTACATTGACTTAAGTCCCTTTTCAGATCACAATAGATGATCGGTATCATGGATAGAAATCAAGAAAGCGAGGGAAACAGCGTGAAGTTATATACTGCTCTTTGATATGAGGAGTTAAAAACCGATCATATCAACCAGTAATCCTTTCCAACAAGATCAAATTAATCTAAAAACTAGACGGCCGCTTCGGTTGTTTGAGGTAAGAGACATCAGCCTCATGGCCGCTTTAACTGCTCTCAGCGAGTTGAATCAGTTTCAAACCACTCATAACGGTTAATATAAGGGTGAAGCTTTGACAGTGTGGTAGATTATGATTTCATCATAGAATGAATTTACCAAATAAAAACGTACAGCATTAGGTGACTGGAGACAGTCGGCAGGAAGCCTTTCTGACCTAGGTTTCGTGCTAGTTGGCACGCACCAGTCAGCAGGGCATATCCGAAACCTTGAAGGGAGTCATTTCCCTCCTGAGCTCCTAACTCGCGTCACCCAGTGACTGCTGCAGTCAGAAACGTTATCACTAAGCTATTCGGGCTCGCAATTGACCTCCTTCCTGTAGGACTGTAGTGGATACTTTGATTGGACACTATTAACTAGTGTGACGTGTCTAGTCCTTTCTTTGGTGCAGACTGAATTCTATCAGTCAGGTTTGCAATGTGGCCACCATTCTAGGTAGCTCTTCAGAAAGGACATGAGTTCCTTCAAGGTTGCAGATACGCCTTGCTGATGAGTGCCAACTAGCACGAAACCTAGGTCAGGCACAAGGCTTCTTGCCGATAGCCTCCAACCATCTAATATCATCAAATCAATGTATTCCGTGATGGCTAGCTACCTAGAATGGTGGCCACATTGCAAACCTGACTGACTGATAGAATTCAGTCTGCACCAAAGAAAGGACTAGACATATCACACTAGTTACTAGTGTCCACTCAAAGTAAGAACATACAGTGATAGAGTATTAATTATTTACTGATGACGTTTTGAACACAATTTATTGCTGTTTATAATCCTATCAAGGCACTCACATGACTCATATGTTGTCGATAGTTTTATCATATAGGGAAAGGACACTCGAAACTTTACGTAGAATCCATAATAGACCAAGAATTAGGGTGGCAATCAAACCTTGAAACTCTTTAGGCTAAAGGAACCTACTGAACTGATTAGACAACATAACTTAATCTACGAAATCCTTTGAAGTGGCTTTGAGAACAACTAAATAGGTCGGACAAGAATACCGAGAGTAGTCAGGTAATCGGAATATAAGAACTTGGTTAAGTGCAGAACGACTGACCCCACGAAGATGAACAGCTAAGAGGTAGACTCAACAATCACACTGTATACACTAACATACAATCATACAATACGATGGGACAGACCTACAGTTGTAAAAAGTAATATAGGTAGGCGGAGAGAGAGAGGCTGATCAATAAACCTCTGTTTATCGAATCTGTACATGACACGTAATAGGAATGATACAACGACAAGATATGGAAAGTATTACTACCAATAAAATCAAATGATCCTATCATGAGCTGACATCGGTTAAAGGACCATTGGGAAACCTTGGAGTACTGGAGAGCTGTTTCATACCAGGTTCCAAGTTTTCCTATGGTTCTCTAACAAATGTCAGCTCATGATGAGATCCTGTAACCAATCAAATCACAGCAAACCAACACATGAAAATCAAATAAATAAGAAATAACAGAATTATATAAGCGAAGTTTGAAGGTTATATGAGTGAGTGCCCTGATATCATATACCTTCACCCAAAAGTACCTTATACCTAATCCTAGTTAGGATACGGCAAATTTTATTTTATTTTCTGATTTAAAACACAAAATCTGGTGTAGAATAGGCACCAAGAAGATGCGTCACACAATGATAATAAAACAGCAGCATACGAGAAAAAATAGGTAGAGAATGAATGAAGACTTCGTCCAGAAACGAAGCAGCTATATTTAACAAGTCCAAACAACTTTCGTCGAATTATTGTCAGAAAGGGAAAAAAGAAGGAAACTGCAGCACGTTCGCTATCGATGATTGAGATTCTTGGCCATATCTGATAACGCTTCGAGTTACCGATTCTAATTACCTATCAGACCCTAACCAGGGAATCATGATGTACCAACCGATATTGACTTACTACAAATATTCTTCACACCACGACGCCACGTCATGAGCTGACCACCTCTTCACTTATTCTATCCCGTCCCAGGACTTGCGGACAGATATTGGCACATAAGCCTCTAGGATGACATTCGTATTACATGCACAAGCCACTGAGGCCTCGGTGTTTCCTTATTACGACACTCAATGGATAGTGATCTCCGCGGTATTCAAACACTCGCTGCTGGACCTCAGAATTACTCATATGATGATAACATAGAACACAAGCAATTCTACGGAGATAGAGATGGTCGTATACGCAGAGTCTCCGCATATGCTCACAGGCATAGAATAAGACTGCAAGCACCAAACCACTATAAACCCAACCTTTGACAACCAGACTAATATCGTGACGGCGCTAGAGGTGGCTCAAATTAGCTCATACCACTGTAGATTTCATGATATGGTTATAAATCTCGTCTGTCACAACTCCGCCAGCAGTCACGCAACTACCCAGATACACGGTCCTACTGGAAAATTAAAACGGTTCACCTAAAAGAGTGAGTGCAGGCACAGGCTTCTGCCAATCTTGAAACATTTCTTTGCAGTTGGACGGCGCAAAGCACATGCCATACTCACAGATACTGATCTCTAACTGACTAATTGCAATTTGGGCAGCCTGCATGCTATCTCACAGTAAGAAGATATCGTCTGGATACTTGACTTCGAAAAGTCTCCACAGAATACAAATCCACACCATCACCACTACTATGCACGTGCTTCAGAGCTGGCTCGAGAATGTCATCGATACGGCATAACTTGAAACTCGAATATCCCAAGGTTATATTGTATCATGGTAATCATTCCAACTACAGACCGAATTACATAACAAAAGCCTGATAAGCTGCCATAAAAATAAACAGACATATTCAAAGGATGAAAAATTCCATTAGAACACAATCTACCAGTTAGATACCCACGGGTGTGTGTGAAACTTGCGGGAAGGACTTAATTCCACATGAGGAGACACCACAGTCGGGTCGGAAGGCCCTATGTATTCTAAAAAGCAAAACCCAAAAGTGATCTTCTGAGAGTTCTCGCCTACGATGTGGAAGTGATTCCGAGCCGCACCTCCGCATTGAGGCTACGGCCAAATGGTAAAGGCATTCGTCTACATCAAGTTTCCAACCCCATATTTTTGATGATCTAATCCTCATAACTTTATAGATGACATCAGAAACAGACACCACTTACTGTTCACAACAACACCGGAATGAACCTTCATTTCAAAACCATCCAATGAAGTAGAATGCATAAATTTTCTGTGACAAACATTAACTACTTATAAGTAGCTTAAATTTTTTCAATAAAATATTATTTCAACTTACTGTCAATTCATCTTCAGTCAATTCTATACTATTCATCATCATAAAATTTAATTTCAACTTTAAATTATCACATAATTTCATAATATTCGGAATTAATCCCCAACGGATGACACCAGTCTCACAACAATGTGCTCTACTCAATTGTACAATAGAATTTTGACTGTTTAATAATGAATCAATAATGATTTTTAATATTTGTTGAATTATACTAAATAAATCAATATTCATTGATTTAAAATAATTTTTTGGATTATTTTCATAATCTATCCAAAGATAGGTGATCCATTTCAGTAGGACAATGAGAATATCACCATGTTGGATGACACATATATATGGATCTGATGTGGATTGTTCAGAACGTTGATTCATCATCAGCTGTTCCAATTGTGGATCAATACAGATTGGTAATCTTCCATAAATCTAAGAAATGAGAAAAAATGTTGAAAGGTGAAATCTCTCTTTCTCTAAATTACAGCTGACACAGCAATAAAAGGATTTCGAAGTGTTTATCATAGTTACAGATTACAGGCCTACTATGAGGAGATTAATCTGCAAGATGTGATTATCGCGTGGCTCAATTGGTCTAGTGGATAACGCTCTGGTGTTTGAAACGACAAGCACTGGGTTCGAGTCTACATATCCAGGTATATCCAGGTGATTAGTTCCACCAAACAGCCTAAGAAATACATCCTGGATTCCACTTCTTGTCACCACCCATCAAATTACTTCAAGGTAATACTCAGACATCGCCGAAGCCTCTGAACTAGGCGGTTGCGTTCCAACACACGCCAAACAAAAATCCCAACTAAGGCATTTAAAAGACAAAAGGATTGAGTAGGCTTCATATATACATATATATTATTATATTATTGTTTCCTTTAATTCCTAGAGGAACAAAGGGCTTCAGCCGTGCGTCCCCATTGAGTTTGGTCCTCTGCCAGAGTCTTTACCTGGCTCCAAGTCTGCCCACACGTTTTCATCTCCTCTTCACATGACCTCCTACAAGTCACCCTTGCACTGACGACCAACTCGCCACTTCCCTTTCGGCCGGGTTCCACTTGAGCAATGGCTTGTCTAGTGATGTCACTTGATGGTTTGTTTTCTCAGAGTATGGTCAATCCATCTCCATTTCTTCTTGCCTATTTGTTTCACAATCGGTTCCTGCTTTGTTGGTTCGCTCAATGCCAGAGATCTCTGTTGCTTATGTTTTCTGACCGGCCATCTGATCTTGAGCAGCATTGAGCGAAGACAACTGTTAATGGAGGTGTGTAGTTTGTTTGAGATGCTCTTTATGACGCTCAGTGCAAGTCTCTGATCCGTATAGTGAGTAGCAATGACTGACTTCACATTGGAGTTGAAAATCCGGATCTCATTTTTGTTGCTGAGTAGTGCTGTTGAACTCCACACAGACTTGAGAGTAGTGAAAGCTTGTCTTGCTTTCCCGATTCGTGCTTTGATATCCTCGTCAGTTCCGTCCGCCTGTAGTTGAAGCGATGCTTCTTAGGTATGTAAAAGAGGTTGTTTCTTTCAGGTTCCTTCCATTTTTGCTGATCGTTGTCTGTTGTTGTTGTTCTTGTCCAGGAATCTTCATCACCTCTGTTTTCTCTATGTTCACCTGAAGTCCTATCTTTGATGCTTCTTCTGCTAACTTGTTGCTTTTCGCTTGCATATCTTCTTCCTTCTTCATATCTTCCAGTTTGTGGGAAATCAGACATATATCATCGGTGAAGTCCAGATCCTCCAAGTTTTTAGTGTGAGTCCTTTTTATGTCTGTTTCCTCATTGCCCAGCCCGCTGTTTGTCGTCTTATCCAATCTATTGCAATCAGGAAAATCATAGGCGATAGTAGGCAGCCAGCTTGTCTCACTCCTGTCCTCACTTCGAAGGATTCCGTAGTTTTCTCGTTGTGGATTACTTGGCATGCAGCATTGTCGTAGAGCTGTTGGATGAGATGTATAATTGTCGGTGGCACACCGTAATATTGTATATATATATGCAGCAATTTTCAATACAATACAGGAATTTGCCAATCTAGTGGAGGTGAGTTTGTCAACAATAATTAGTCAATATTAATGTATACGGTCAAATCCTGTGAAATGTGACTTTTCATTCGTACCCAAGAAAATACTGCACACGAAACTTGAATTCAAAGGTAACTTAGCTTCTGATATCATGAAAAGAAGGATATCACAGTCCCTGAATAGAGCATTCCCTGCTGCATCTTTGAGAATAACCTTTACCAGTGGACTATTACTGTTCAACAATCGGAAGGAAATGATCCCGCTGTTGACCAAGTAATGTGTGCGTTTATCAATTCACCTACCCGTGTGGAGCTAGGTATATCGGTCGTTCGACTCAAATTTTGTCCGATAGGGTGTAAAAACACTATCCTGTATGGTTACAAAGAGGTAGAATTGGAGCAATAAGAAGCGCGATCATTGAACATTTGGTCGATAATGATCACCCCATCTCTTCAGCCTCCGCAAAAATTAATTTACCCTAATCACAACCTACTCGACTCATCTGTACTGGTGAAGCTTTGGCTATCGAAACAGAAAGACCAGATGACTGTATGCAGATAAAGTTCGTTGAATCCCTCCAACTTTCATGGAGGAGTAAAGCATGTTTTAATAGGATAAGACCCATTCATATTTTGGCTCTACCTATTTTTCGTTTTGTTTGTTCAATTTGTATACTCTTCTTTTATTACGTCAATTGTTACTACTATTATTATTCCCACTTTCAATTGTCCCAAGTATTATTTCATTCGTTCCACTTGTCATTCTAAATCAACTCTGTTTTGCAAAATCAGATTCTGTGTTATCAAGCTTCACACCTTTTTGCGTAACGTTTTAATTTTAATTTTATTTACCTACTAATCCTATAATTACACTCCCCTTCCAAGTTCTATACATTCTATATATTGCTCTATATATGACATTAATTGTTTTCTATAGTTGGTTTGTAAGGATTAGATTTGTTTTTACGAGTTGATCACGGACTGATATCTGTTAGAGTACCATGGAAATCGCTAGCCAGGATAGCTCAGTGATGGTAATCTCTCTGACTGCAGCAGTCACTAGGTGACACCGGGTTCGAATCTCAGACATCTCAGGAGGGACATGACATGTTTCTCTAAGGTGATTGCAGATACGCCTTACCCTAGGTCAGGCACAAGGCTTCCTGCCGCCGATTGCCTCCAACCACCTAATACCAACAAAAGACATATTTGATAGGCAAGCGAAAGAGTATTCCTCTTATTCTATGTGTAACAACCTATTATATAGCTGTGGTGAGAGCTGTCTGTAAGCCAAAATTGTAGACAACAATTTACGTCAATGTTCACGTCCCGAATCAGGGTTATGAGAAAAAACAATAACAAAGCTTAACCTAGAGAAAAATCACCAACCAATCATAGCAGACTTAACGTGTGCAAATAGAATTCGCACAGATATATGGCTTAACTTTCTAAGAAACAGCCACAAAGAGATAACAGAATAACCTTCTTCAGCAAGAAAACAACCAATCAGAAGACGTTGCTTCTCTGCTAACAATAACACTAATAATAATGTACATAAAAATCTATAAATATCTGCAAATAATGGTGTTCTCTGAGCTGGTTGGTTTCGATATTATGCAAACCAAAAGATCTAACAGAAAAAGGGGATAAAATTAATACCATTTACAAAATAAATTGTATGAACTGCAACAAGCATTACATCGGCCAAAGTGGGCGTCCCCTTCGAATCAGAATCCAAGAACACATATCAGCCGTGAAAAGATACGATATGTATTCTTTAGTATCAATGCATATAGACAATTATAGTCATCAATTTGATTGGGATAATGTCAAAATCTTAGACAGAGGAAACACCAAAAGTGCAGTCAGGAAATTCCTAGAAGCCTGGTACTCAAACGAAAATGCAGTTAACAAGCACGTTTTTATATAGACGAAATATACCAACTAATAAAAAGTAAATCAGGTGACTAGAAAGTTTAAAATCCAAGTCAATAGAAAATGGTCAATACATATGTAAAGATGGTTACCAGGAGAGGCAATTATATCACTCATGAAGAAATTTAAATCATTTCACTTTATGCCAAATATTGCGCTGAAGGGGGATGTTGTCCAGAAGGAGGACGACGAAAGCTCCGCAACTAAACCAACCAGCTGAGACAACGAACACTATTAATTGCAAATCATCCACCTGAGCTACAAATCTTCTCTTATTATTTCTATAAATATCTGTTGATTTTCTCAATAAACGGCCTGTTGCCTGACCCTTGTCTTCTGTCATTACATTACTACCCTACTTGCTTAACAGACAAGATAAAGATGAATAAGTATTATTATTGCCAAATTTTTAGCACATCTGTGTACAGTGTGTTGTATAGAAAATACACTTGTATACTCATTTGTATACTACCCATGTACTACACTACTATAAAATAGACATCAGGATCGATAATGCGATGAGAGAATACATGTATGCACATGTGAACCAAAGAGATATATATACGCATATATCAAAAAGCAATTTGATTATTGCTTCTTTGAATAAGAATAAGTAAATAAGTGCAAGTCAGTGTAGAGAAGAGAAGGTGTACTGCTACTACTAGAGAGAGTGAGTGAGTGAGTGAGTGAGTGAGTGAGTGAGTGAGGAGAGAGAGCATTAATCATTGACACTTATTAATACTAAAATACAATCAACATGTAAGGACTGAATGAATGTACGCCTTAAAACAAGTTGAGTGCATGCTTTTTGATGCATACACTTAGCTGATATAATGGTGATGATGATGATGATGATGATGATAATATAAAGTCAACAGAATAATAAAAAAGGAAAAAAGGAATGGAACATTTCTGTGTCAAAAGTTACATGAAACTAATAGCTAATCAACTTGGGCCTTCAGAAAAGCGTGGTACTATATGCTTGGCCCAGACCACTGCAGATCACTTCAGACTTTAATCCACAGCTACCTTCGTTTGCTCTACAAAAAAACAAACTAAGAACCTAATGACATAAGCTTAATGCAGGGCACTGTGGTAGTAAGTAATTCCATATTAGTTTGTTTATTAGATGTATCACACAGTGAAGAAACAGTATTATTATTTGCTGGATGACAATGTTTCGAACACAATTTATTATTGTACATAATCATATCAATTGTAATCAAACGACTTCGAAACTTGAGTTTTTTGTAGTTTTCTTTGTTCCTTCCTATTTCCCGTCGTTGGGGTAGTAGAATTTTCCAGATATCCGGATGGACAGGTGCTGAATCATTCCTGTTACATGTATTTGCAGTTGATTCGATAAACAAAGATTCCGTTGTAATCAATCTCTCCCTCCACCCTGCTGCTACATTAGATTTTAAAACTGTCACCTTATCCCATCCCATCGTATTCTCTGGTTGTGT